CGGGCTCAGGCAATCCACTCACCTCAGCCTCCCAAAGGCGTGAGATTACAGGCTGAGCCACTGAGCCCGGCTACGCTCAAGTTTTTAAAGAAAAAAGATGGATCAGGACAGGGGCCAGTTATGAGCAGTTACAGAAGTTGTTCATCAGAAATCCTCATTGGTTTACAGAAATAACATGGCTGGTAATTGGCTCTACATTGTTGAACTATGGGGTGTATGGCATTTCATGGCTACTTGGCATCAGTTGGTCTAGAGCCTGCAGAGCAAGTGGCTTCAAGAAGTAATTACTTAGCTCAAGGGGAAGTGTAAGCGACTGCTGTCACATTTTAAATTCCTCTCTAGGCCTGATAATTTAAAGGGACTCACATTCCTCAGATTAAATAAATTTTTTTCTTACTGAACATGTAAGAGGTATGAAGAGCTTTAAGTGATAGTCTATAAAAGTGGGGGGCAGGGAGTCTTTAGAGGCATGGGTAATGGCAGAGCACACGTGTGAAGGTGGTGCTGGTGACAGTGACAATGATAGAGGCATATTGAGCTCACCTTGTGTCAGGCACTGCACTCAGCACATTCATGGTTCATCTCACTAAGTCCTCGGACAACTCATCGAGATATATGCCGTTCTTAGCTCTGTTTTGCTGCCAGGGAAGCTGGGGCCAGCCGTGGAGTTGGCATACCAGGTCTGGTCTACCTGACTTTAGGGTCTGTTCTTTCAGTTACCATGACAAGCAGACTCCCAGGACTATACAGTGGCTGCCATTTTATTGAGAGCTTACTACACACCAGGCATTATGTATGATGTTTTACAGATGATACCCCAATCCTCAGGGCAGATGTGTCAAGTATAGGGTATCTGCACTTTGCAGATGAGGAAACAGAGGCTCATTAAAGTTAAGTGACTTGCTTAAGGTCACATAAATAGAAAGTGGCAGATCCAAGGTTAAAACCAGATCTTTCTGATCTTCCCTGTGTAAGAGGAAACCCTCATGGCTGGAGCAGAGAGTGGTTTATACAGGAAAATAGAGGCAGCTAAGGTCAGAAAAGTGGATCTGCCTCAGGTTGCAAAATGCCTCACCTTCCAGCACAGATGACAGGATTGCCTTTTTTTTTTTTTTTTTTTTGAGTTGGAGTCTCCATCGCCCAGGCTGGAGTACAGTGGCATGCTCATGGCCACCCCAGCATTGACCTGCTGGGTTCCGGCGATCCTTCCACCTCAGCCTTCCAAGTAGCTGGAACTTCAGGTGTGCGCTTCCACGCCCAGCTAATTTTTTGATTTATTGTAGAGATGAGGTCTCGCCAAATTGCCTAGGCTGTTCTCGAACCCGTGGGCTCAGGCAATCCCCTCACCTCGGCCTCCCAAAGTACTGGGATTACAGGCTTCAGTCACCATGCCTGGCCAGGACTGACTTTTGTAAAGGAAGGATCCTGAACAGTGACCTTGATTTGAGGATGGGGTGGGATGAGATGAACACCTGGAGGCCTGGCAAATCCAAGCCAACTGGAGCTCTGCCCAGCTCTGTGCTTAGGGAAGCACAGGGCTTTGCACAGCTGCAGGGAGATCAAAGCACTCAGGCCTGCTGAGAAAGTGATGTCTGAGCAGATCTGTGGCTTATGGAAACGAGCCCATCCCTTGCATCTCAGCACTGGCCCCTCCTTGCGCCTGCTTGTTTCCCTAGGGTGCCAGGAATGACTTTCCACAGCCTCCTACATCTCCCCTGGTATGGCTTGTGAAAAGCTGCTGGAAAGTCCCAGAATGGAGGGGTGGAGATTTGTCAAGGATGAGGTGCAAGTACAGGGTCTGTACCCCCAGGCCCGTCATCTGGGCTCAGAGATAGGTGGGGACGTGGAGGTGCAAGAGTGGTGCAGGTGGAGTTTGGACTCTTGATCTCCAGTTACCTCAAGGCCAACTGGTCCTCTGTGGGTGAGGTGTGCCTCTGTAGGTGTTTAGTCACCATGTCCTTTGCCGGTGCCCTTCCCTATCCAGGTCATTGCTGTGGTCATGGACCTCTTCACTGATGGCGACATCTTCCAAGACATTGTGGATGCTGCCTCTAAGCGCCGAGTTCCAGTGTATATCATTCTGGATGAGGCAGGGGTGAAATATTTCTTGGAAATGTGTCAGAGCCTGCAACTCACTGACTTCCGAATTCGGGTAGGTTGTACCACTGGGTGGGGGATTGGCAGAAGATGAGACAGAGACTCCCTCTGGCCCTTCCTCTGGCTCTTCCCTGGTTTGGGGGCTCAGGTGAATTTCAAGATCTCAACTGCTTTCCTTCTGTCTAAAACCTTGACTCATGAACCTATAACCACTAAATTACATGCCCAGCTTCAATTTTATCCGAAGGCTGCTAAGGCTGAAGGAGGTAGCTCTGGCCCAGTCCTGGAGTGCTCAGCCTGCAGAATCACTGACTTCACTGTCAGGTTCAAAGTTAGGGCTGTGAATCTCTTCTGGGGAGCATTGGGAACAGGCAGGAACCACCCTGGGTTTGTCTATGCCCAAACCAAGATTTGGAAAGTCCTCTTGCTGGCCAAAGAGGGTTCCCTATGTGGGGCTGTAGGAAGCAGAGTCTGGTGAAAATAGGAGCCGGCAGGCAGGATTCATGAACAAGAGGGCCCTTCCTCTGCCAAAGCAAAGACTTGGCATAGAGCCTCATAGGCATGCCCAAACTGGGTGACTGGGCTTCTCTTCTCAACAGAACATCCGTGTGCGCTCCGTGACAGGCATGGGCTTCTACATGCCCATGGGAAAGATCAAGGGGACCCTGTCATCAAGGTTCCTGATGGTGGATGGTGACAAAGTAGCCACTGGATCTTACAGGTGAGTTGGGTCAGGTCAGAGAAGGGCCCAGGAGGCTGTTATTCAGGGTAACTGTTCAGGAAGATGCTAGCCTGGAGCCTCATAGGCAAGAGTTTTGAGAGGTCTCATCTGACCCAATGGCAAAAAACAGCCTCCTGCCCAGTCCTTTCCCTCAAACTTTCTGGTTGATGGATTAGAGAAAGCGTCAACTCTTACTGGGCATTAGGCACTGCCTGCTTTTCATGGTCTAATAACAACCAGTTGCTAGTTTTTGAGTCTAGTTTTAGGTGGAACAAGTCGGAAGTAGAATAGACCACATCTGAGAAAGAAATGTGAGAGTATGGCGTACAGGAAATGTCTCCAGAATTTTGATTTAGAAGTAAATTATCTTCCGGCTACTCGGAAGGCTGAGGAGGAAGGATCGCTGGAGCCCAGAAGGTCAACGCTGGGGGGCCGTGAGCATGTGTGCCACTGCACTCCAGCCTGGGCGAAGGGGTGAGACTCTAACTAAAAAAAATAAAAAGTCAATTACCAGGGACATGAGAGATTGTGTTTGTGCAGTCTCGGCCCTCCAAGTAAGTTAAGATCTAGGTGAGGAAAACAGAGACCTGAGCGCATGAAACAATTAGTAAGTGACATAAGTCCTCTTCTGTCGTTAAAGTATGGGTTTTTGCAGACACTAAGTGTTTTAAAAATTCAGAGGAAAACCAGTAAAGAATGGAATGATATTAATGATAGTGGCAGCTGCAGTTACTGTTTATTAAACATGTGTTTGTGCCAGGTACTGAGCCAAGTGTTTTTCAGAAGTTCTTTCCTTTGAGCCTCATAACAGCTCTGTGAACATACGTCCTGTGAGCCCTCATGTACAAGGCACACAAGGGCATAAACAGGTTTGAATCCAGGCTTGGCTTCCCGTGATCTTTCCCTATACCCACTGCCTATTTTCTGCGTTGAGGCAGAAGATCTGTGGAAAGGGAGGATTTGGGTCAGTGGAGGAGGAGCAGTTCAGCATGAAGGCCAAGAGGTGCCTTCCATCAGACAGCAAGAGTCTGGTCACAGTGGTGGGTCAGGTGAGGGCAGGGGCATCGGGGAATTGTAGCGGCTGCTGGCAGGGCGAGAGAGAGAGGCCTGGGCACACGTGACTTGCTTTTCTGTCCCCACATTCCCAGGTTCACTTGGAGTTCCTCCTACGTGGACAGGAACCTTCTCCTCCTCCTGACAGGGCAGAATGTGGAGCCCTTTGACGTAGAGTTCCGGGAACTGTACGCCATCTCCGAGGAGGTGGACTTGTACCGGCAGTTGGGCCTGGCAGGCAGGCTTGGCCTCAACTACTCCTCCACGGTGGCTCGCAAGCTCATCAACCCCAAGTACGCCTTGGTATCAGGCAGCCGCCACACGCCAGGGGAGATGATGCGCTGGGCCACCCGGCAACAGCGAGAGGCTGGCAGCAACCTGGAGGGGCCGGAAGAGGGCAGCGGAGGTGGTGAGTCGGCCCAGCGCCTGGAGAGCTTCCTGAATGACCTGGTTACCATAGAGCAGGTGCCACCCCCTGTGGCGCCCATTTCCTCCGGAGAGCTAAGCCGGAAGGATAGCAGGATGGTCTCTCACGTGCACATAAACCTAAAGCCCAAATCCCGAGAGGCACTTGCCCAAACTGACATGGGAGAAACTGCCAACGGGGAGGCCAACCCGGCCAAGGAGGGCAAGCACTTTGGCAGTAGGTTCTTCATTCGACGGACCAAGAGGCCTGCAGCACCCAATGGCACGGCCAGCTCCCTCTCTACTGAGACCTTTGCTGAAGTGGAATTTCGGAAAGGGAAGAGGCCCAACGAGGATGCCAGTGCCAACGTCTCAGGTGAGCCCTCTTCCCTCGGGCCAGCACCTCCCCAGGCCTCTGGCCCCAGGCCTCCAGCCCCCACCGAGGAGCACTGCCTCATACCTGCAAAGATGGAGACCTCCGTGTGCTGCCGTTGAGAGAGCAGGAACTCTGGGGTCTGTTCTCAGTCTGTTCTCAGGTCCTCCACTGCCTTTCTGGCGCTGGTCTTTACCTTGTGGCCTTGGGTAAGTCGCTGAAGCTCTGAGTCTCAGTCTTCCCTTTTCTAAAGAGGAGAATGATGCCTACCTTGTCTAGCTGTTCTGGATAGAAAGTGGTCAGTACACTGCTGGGCATGAAGTGGTCTGACAGTTTTTATTACTGCTACTAAAGGGCATTCAGATCAGCCCTGATGGTAACTCAGCAGTAAAGTACGCTCAGAAAGCTTCTCCCTTGTAAATGAAGAAATGGAAGCTCAGCACAACTGGCGGCAGGGCTAAGGTTTGACCCTTGGCTCTGAGTCTAGGGCTCTTTCTAGCAAACCTTGTTCCTTGCCAGATCACCTGTCATCAGGACCTCACCTGGTCAAACACAGCCCACCCCATCAAGCCCCTGACCCACTTTTCTGTTTCTGTTGTAAATAGTTTGACTTGGTTTTTCCAAGTGTCCATCTGTTGAGTGGTGTCTGCCCTGCTGCTGACCCCCGGGAGACATTGCTTCTGATGGTAGCATCTTTCCTGTGGTCTCTCTGGATCCCCGAGAGGCCCTGGCCTTTGTCTCCAGTGTGGCCTTTCATCTCAGCATCCATGGGTCGGAGGAGTTTCCATATTGGGAGTTCTCCCCCCGTGGCTGTTGGGCTTTGCAGCAATGAGAACTGGTTCAGAGTTTTGACAAAAACTGAAAAAAAGGAAGAAATTAAAAGAGAGAGAGAACTGGGCTCTCTAGATGACCGGGGAGGGGATGGCAGGGCCTGAGTCTTGTCCTGGGCAGCCTGCAGATTCCCAGGACCCACGTGTCCCCCACAGCCCAGCTTTGACCTGATTGTGAGAGCAGGAACCACAGCCATCTTCCCCTCTGCCGAATCCCCAGCACCTGCTACAGAGCCTGACACACCCAGTCTGTTCTCAGGAAATGTCAGATTGCTGGACTTGAGTACAGGCCTGGGCGTCTCTGTGACTGCGGGCGTAGCAGTAGCGCCGGGGCTTTCCCTCCATCTAGCCTGAAGACATGAACTGACCGTGTCCACCTGCCAGGTCCTGCAGGGGCGCTGGCCCTCTCTTCTCCCCTCAGCAACCCTTCGAGCACAGAGGTGCAGGTAGAAGCTCACAGAAGTGGATGAGGTCCCAGGGCACAGGGAGAAGTAATAGGCAGGATTCAAACCCAGAACTGGGCCCAGGGCCGTGTCCTACCAGGGGTGAGGGGGGCAGCTGGCCTCTCTCCCCATTCTTCCTGGACTCCCTGGCTCCCCTAACACCAGATGCTGATGCTGCTTTGTACCTCTGGTTTGGAGGAAGGGTTGCCATGGCAAACACCTGGCAGGGAAGGGAGGGGGAGGAGGGGGCGAGCCCAACCACAGAAAGGGCTGTTTCCCAAGTCCAGACTGGAAGTGAAGTGGAAGCTTTCTCTTCCTTCAGCCCCTCGCCCTGAGGTGCTGTTTCCATGGAAACGCAAGGCCCATTGTCTTGTCCCTTCCTGCTGCCTTCAGCGTGTCCCTCAGCATCGAGGTCCCCTGCTTGAATGAGTCTGCTGCCACTGCTGCTGCTCTCTAGGGCTTGCACTCAGTGCCCAGGAGCCAGCTTGGCAGACCTGGACCGCACCCCTGGGAAGCGCCTCTCCAAAGTGCCTGGCACCCAGAGAGAGAGAGAGAGAGAAAGAGAGAGAGAGAGAGAGCGAGAGAGAGAGAGAGAGAGAGAGGATCATGTAAAGTCAGGAGAGGTGCCCAGAACCATCACTCAATTTCTTCCCCATCCTTTAGAAGAAACACAGAGCGGCTTTGTCCAGCATAGCCTCTGCCCATCTGGATGATTATCCAGCACCGTGGCCCTGAAATTCAAGGTTCCTAGCGAGACCTTTCTTCCCCAAAGGCTGGGAGGAGAAGCAGGAGGTCTTCTCCCAAAAGGCCCTTTCTCTTGCCTCCAGCCTCCCAAACACTGGCCTGAGTGAGCTGTCAGTGTCTCCCCTCAGGCAGCAGCTGCTAAGCACCTAAGCCAGCATGCCTGAGAGGGCTGACTCCTAACAGCACCGGCTCCCCAAGGTGGGAACTGGTAAGAACTTTAGCTCCTACCTTCCTTCCCTGGGAAGGAAGCCTCTTCCCACAATGAATAGCCAGGACCTCCCCAGAGCAGCCATTTGCATGACTCTCAGCTCTGGATACATTGCTCCCCATACCCTGGACACATCCTTCCCTTCCCTGGGGCTGTGTCCTCATCTAGAAGAGGAGGGGAGTGAGCTAGGGAGGGCTTCTAAGCTCCCCCTGAGTTCAGATTCTGACTCTGTTCTTTCTGTCTCTGCTGCCCTCTTGTCAAGGGAGAACCTGGGTTGATGACAGGTTCTGTCATCAGAGAGAAAAATAGAAAAAACTAAGAGCTGACAGCCTGTAAAATTGCTTGATAAGATGTATATAGTTGTCAAGCAGCATGCAAATTTTTGCAAACCCAGGTGTGGCCCCTGGGAGAATCTTACCGAAATCGCTTCCTTTGGGGCTAGCGATCCAGCTGGGGTTGGGGGCCTGTCCTGCGGTGTGAAGGCTCACAGCTCCCTCTAGTGGCGGAAGCCGGGCGTATTTCCCATCCGCCTCTTCCCGCAGCTGGCTCCTGTTCCCGCACTGGGTGTTCTCCTTCCCTGGAGCGGGCCGCCTGCGCTTTCCACGATCTCCGCTAAGGCTCTCCGGGGTCCAAACCACAGGGAGCAGCGGTCAATGGAGAGCCTCGTTCAAAATGCAATGAACAGAGCCTGTACTGCTGGGCAGGGCTCAGGAATCTGCATTTTAAATAAGGGGCCCTGATTTTCCGATGTAGTTCCCCAATGTTAGTGAGCCTCCACACCGGCTGGATATACATAGTGACACAGAAGAGACTCGGTCAGACAAGGCCCTGCCCTCAGATTGCTGCCAGGCGAGGGAAGGAGGTTCCTGGTGCTATCCCCAAGACCTCACCCAAGGAGGGGGCTGGGAAATGGCCAACACTTCTGAAGAAATTGAGAGACACCAGGCTATAATGCCATCACACAGCATTGGTACAGTCCTCACAACCATCCTGCCTGGTGACAGCATGACAAGCAAGACCCCTGAGGTTCAGAGGGGCAGGCCCAGTGTCCATGGTCACCCAGGGAGGAAAGGGCAGTGTGGTCTCCTGTCTCCCAGGACCTTCTGCATACCATCAAGGCTGGCTCCAAAAGGCTATAGTTGGCACCATTTCCTTATGTCTTTAGAGACTGTTTGGAAGACGAGAGGCCTGAACATAAGATTAACCCTTTCCCTGGTCTCCACTAGCTGAGAGGAAGATGAGAGTGATCACCTGCTTCCCAAAGTGGCTTTGGGTCATTTTCCTTCCCCAGACCCCTGAGCCCCTGCTTTTCTTCCTCAAGTTATCAAAGGCGACCTGCAGTGACCATACCCTTCCAGAACTCCTGTGGGTTCCCCGATTCATGGTGGATGGGCCATCCCGGCTGGTAGTGTGGTTTGACTCTGTAGAGTTGTGGCTGCTTGGCTCCTGGATTTGGGGACATCAGATTCTCCTGTGACATCCTAGGGGCTGAGGTGTCTCGGATCTCTTTCCTGGAAATCTAGATCCCTTTCAGGGATGGAATGTCGGGGAAGTGCTTTGTGGGTCAGAGTTTCACAAGGACCTCTGGGCCCCCAGGTCCAGGATAAGTCTACTCAGTCCTGTCTGTTCAAGTCGGCATTTCAGAATGCAGTGTTGCCTTGAGGAGCTGGGTCAGGCCCAGCTGGTGTTTGGAAGCTGCATTCTGATCTGATAAACCTGAGCACTGTTGCCAGTGAGGAGTTGGAGGAGGGTTCCAATCACACCACGTGGGTGAGGGGAGCAAAGCGGACGTCCTCTGAGTTCCCAATTTCACTCAGCGCTAGGGAAGAGGCAGGTGTCCTCATTCTTATGGGCAGACGTCATAATCCTCCGTGCTTCTAGTTTATCTTGGGACTGGCCAGGGCTGACATCACCATCTCAGGCAGGTACTGGGTGAGTGAGGGCCTGGGCATCACCCGATCGACATCTCCTGTTGCTGCTATTGTTTCTGTCATCAGTGTTGCTCCAAGCCCTTCGTAGCTTGCCATTGCCTGCTCACTCATTTCATTCGGAAAATATGTGTCTATGAAACGTCTGCTCTGGGCCAGGCAGACGTCCCTGAGTTCCTGGAACAGCAGAGAACAGAATGAGCAAAGTGCCTGCTCTTACGGAGCATGTTGTGCTGGGGAGAGACTGGGACAGGGAGGGGAATGGGGTAGTCAGGGAGGCCTGCCTGACAAAGGACTTGAATGGAGGGAACCCTGTGGACATCTGGGGGAAGAATCCTCCAGATAAAGGGACTGTCAAGCCCTGAAACCACTGTCCTTGTCGCAGCCTCCATGTGGGTTCTCGGCCTTCTCCCTCACTGCCTTGCCTGCCAGCAAACCAGACTAACTGGGGGTCCTGAGTACCCCAGGCTGTCCCCCTGCCTCAGTGCTTACATCGCACGGTTCACCTACATCGAGTAGCCTCTCCTCCTGCCTCGCACCACTATTTTCAACTTTGCCTTTGAAGCTTGACTTTCTCTCAGTTGTCTTCTCTGGGCCACCCATACCAACGCCACACATACTTTGTTTTAAAAAAAAATTGGGCTGGGCATGGTGGCTCAAGCTTGTCATCCCAGCACTTTGGGAAGCCAAGGCAAGTGGATTGCCTGAGCTCAGGGGTTTGAGACCAGCCCAGGCAACTTGGTGAGACCTTGTCTCTACAAAAAATTTAAACATCAGCCAGGTGTGGTAGCGTGTGCCTGTAGTTCCAGCTACCTGGAAGGCTGAGGCAGAAGGATTGTCTGAGCCCAGCAGGTCAAGGCTGCAGTGGCCATGAGCAGTGCCACTGCACTCCAGCCTGGGTGACAGAGTGAGACTCCTACTCAAAAAGAAAAAAATTGGGGCGGCCATGTATGTATTCTTCCCCATTAACCTGAGCAGGTCTGACTCGCTCACACGTGGTAGGCTCCCAATACATGAACACTAAAGGAATGAAGGGACACAAAGAATTTTTTCTCCAACCAGTCCCTCTGTGAGACACATGGAATGAACTCTGGGCAGAGGATTCTCTTGAGGCTTTTACTCAGCCTCCCAAAGTCAGTGGGGCACACGTCCTGGTAAAGATAGGCCCTGTCCTCGGCCTCTTCGAGCCTTCTCTGGAAGGAGATGTGCAGAGTGCAGGCTTTGGAAGCAGGCTCCTCTAATACTCCTGCCTCCTCTACTCCCAGAGCTATACCTCTTCCCCTGCTTCAAGATCCGGAGGTTGATTTGCTTACCTGCTTCCAAAGTGCTGCTGCCTCTGGGGAGGAACTTGACATCTGCTTAGTGGGCCAAGCAAATAAAACAAACTGAGGAGAGTAAATGGGGACGGATGTGCCCGTTGCAGCAGTGAGGGGATGCTAGGACAGCAGAATTGAGTCACTTTATCAGAGCCTCAGCAGACATGGTCAGCGCCACTGTGGAAGGTGACCCCCCAGCTCCTCGACCGTCAAGCACTCAGGACACAGTCTTCCTTCTCCACTCTCACTTCCTTGCAGCCTCCTGCCCATGTCTGGGGTGGCACCGGTAATGAGGGATCAGCCAGATTTGCAGTGAGTCCCAGAGTTGGTTCGGTCTGGCCCAGATGAGGCAGTGGGTAGCACAGCACCCCAGTGACGGGCACGAGAAGTAACCTATGGGGCGTGGCCAGGGGCAGGGCAGGGGCTGCTGGTACCAGGGCTCCCAGTTGGGCTCTGTTCAGTGTCTCTTCCTCGTGGCCCAGGAGAGAAGGCAGACGCCACCTTAATTAAATTCACAGCTGAAGTGATATCGGAAGGTGGTGTGAGCACCAGGGAGACAACACTTGCTGTGCAGAGGGGAACTGGCAGGAAATAACACGAGCGGCTTCCGCCTGGGGAAAGTCAGCCGGCACTCAGAGGACATTGGCTGCAGCCTCCAATGCCTGACACTTCACAGGCCAGTAGCTGTCAGGTCTTCCTTGCTGCTTCTCCCTCTTCCCTCCATAGGTCAGAGAGCAGGAATCCAGCCGAAGAAACTGCCGGCCTCATTTTGGAATTGTAAAGAAAGTGGGAATGGACGGTGGAGGCCTGGGGAAGAGGAGGGGCTTCCACCGGCCTTCTCATCCCTCAGTGCAGTATGTTCCTCTCTGTTCTCTCCCTAAGCAGTGCCCCTAAGCAGTGTGATCCCCCTGCAGTGCCTGGCCCTAGGGGTCAGCATTACTGACCCTTCCTGAGACCCAGGCTTGTCTTCCAACCCAGGTGGCCTGCAGGCAGGAGGAGCTGTAACTGGTCTGGGAGACCAGGTTTCCACACTGTCGCTGCCTGGCCCTGGGAGCTCTGGTCTCTCACCCTCCTCTGTAGAATGGGACTCAGTTTGGCTGCCTGTGAGAGACACTGAAGAGGGCTAGGGTTGTGCTCTGTAAGCTGAGAAACTGAATATGCTAGCAGCTACTAGTGAATGGCCCCCTGGCAAGACTCCTAACTTGTTGATTGCTGATTCTAGAGTCTGGATCCTCCCCCACCCCTTTGGCCAGAAGATGGCAGATCCCTGGTTGTCCCAGCCAGTGGGGCTCTTGCTGAGGCTACCAGTACAGGGCGAATCTTTCCTGGGTGCTCGCTTAACCTGGCTTCTGGATTAGCAACTAGGGGGGAGAGACAATGACTCGAGCCCCTAAATTGGAGGTGTTGACAAGGTACAGCGTGGTGTATCCACCGGGCATTTCACTTACATCCTTCCTTTCCTGTCTTCCTTGCCTCTGCAGGTAAAACAAGTCCCAGTCTCGCCAAGCCCAACAATTGCGTGATTTCCTGAGCCACAGGACAGTGGTGGACAGAACCTGTGACGCCCTCCTGTCCTGTCCTGTACTGTGGAGAGCACAGGTCGCATCCTGTACTAGTTTGCACATTGGACCCTGACTGGTCTCCTGCCCTGCAGCCTCCATCCTGGCCTCAGAGACCCTGAATCCCAAATGGGAGGATCCGAAGCATCTCAAGACAATCAAACACCTCCAGACTGTTGGTGGCTGGGCAGGGGTCACTGCCACCTTGTTTACATGAAGTGGAAGCTTGACTAGTGTCTGCTCTCCTTTATGCCTGACCCTTTACTCCATGGGTTCCCAGATGGGATGAGGACCATGCCTTTATACCTTAACGGGATGGGGTCTCCAGGGCAGTCCCAGCTGCCTGGCCTCTCCTTTCCTGGGCTTCCTGGTGCATCTGGTACCCCAAAACGTTGGTGGAATAAAAGGGAAGAGGGCAGGGATCCTGGGTTCCAATTTTGCTCAGAGTCAGGGATCCTGGGTTCCAATTTTGCTCTAGCCTCTGAACTCCAGGTATACAAAGCAGCTAGAACAACTGGAGCACTGGCTGCCATGGCCTTCCTGGACCAGTTCCTGCAGGCTCCTGCACTGGATTCTGAATGGAACAAGGGGAAGATGCCTCAGTCTCCCCCAGCCAGGGGCAGGATTTGACAGTGCCATTCTGAAAGCACTCACGCTGAGGACTCCTTACCCATTCTGCACCATCCTGGCAGTTTTGGCCAGAGTGGCCCAAGCCTCCTTGGCTGTTGCCTGCTGCAAGCCCATACTGGGGTTCTTATAGTGCCTTTACCTGGGTCTGTTCCTCCTCTCACTTAGTATACCTTGACTTGCAGCCCAAGGCAGGGAGAGAGCTCAGCCGGCCAAGGGGAGCCTTGGGTGGGGGAGGAGGCTGGGCCCAAGGGTTGCTTCGGTGGGGGAGGAGGCTGGGCCCTGAGTACAGGAGCGATTGCCCTTCCCCAGCCCTAAGATGGTCCTCAGTCCCCTCCCCCGTCAGGGCTTCCCCAGTTTCATTTCAGTCACAGACTAGCCTGAATCTCCTGCGAAGGGCCAGGTGATGTTTACAAGCCTGAGCCTCCCCAAAGCAGGCTGGCCTAATTGCCATGATGCTGGGCCAGGGGACCCAGTGAAGAATCCCACACTGCCCCTCTGGTGACTGGCGGGGGCTGAGGAGAGATTTGTGAGTGAACACTGGAGAAATCACCAAACTGCAGGCTCTGTGAGCCGGTCCTACGGGCAGGGTGATGGAGGGTCAGAGCCCCAGGGAAGCAGAGGGCCACACAGCAGCTTCTCTTGGCTTCTGACCTCTGAACCAAACTCTCATCCTCCTTCCTTCTAAAAAACCCTGGGACATTACCAGCATGTGGGGGAGGGGAGTTGATGGGAGACGCAAGAAAAGAGGACACACCACCCTGGCCGGGCTGCGGTGAGCCAGGCCTTCCTTTTGAGAAACAGGACATGGGGCAACGCATGGCAGCCATCGAGGAGAAGCTGGTCTCTCTGGCAGTGGGGAGGGAAGGGAAAGGAAGGGCGAGCTTAACCCAAAAGTCTCCTCTGATAATCATGAAGTTGGCTTGTAGGGGCGTGTTGTGGAGAAGGGACTCTGACCACCTCCCTGAGCCTGTGTGAGGATTAAACACTTCTGGGAAGTGCTTCCCTATGCACCAGGGCCTGGCAGTGTGGCACTAGCTTATTCTGGAGCAGAGGGAAGGGAGCGAGTGACATGGGGATGTGGGGGTGTTACACCTTGGCTCAAAGTGGTCACCTTGAAAGTATGGGACACGAGATGCATAAATTGCAGTGAGGAAAAGGGATCACCCTCGGTGTGGAGGATGGACACCGCTGGGGACAAAGAGGAGGCCTGGGGAAGGGACCAGCTTCTACAGCAAGTCTGCCAAGGCAGCTTGTGCTGTTCCTAGGAGAGACACAGGCCTGCTTTATCTTTTTTCCCTCTCCTGATCCAAAGCAGGTCCAGGTCCCTCCCCTGCCTTGACATCTAATCTAGGAGGCTCCCCAATGTGAAGTTCCCAATCACTGCACCTTCAGCCAGGCCTTACTGTCTGCCTCCATTTCTTCACATGCTAAGTGGGTTTTTCTCGGAAGAAGTGAAGAGGAGACCGTATGTTGGTCTGTGTAGTGGGAAGTGCTGGCCATAAGGCAGGACTGCCTAGGCAGGCACCTCTCCCCTTCCGCCTGTTTCCTTATGCCTACAGAGGTTTGGACAAAATGATCTCCAACCCTCTCCAGCTCTGAAATGCTTGGGAAAGAGACTGTATCCCAGGGATTACTGAGGATCTCAAAGTCATAAAATGCAGCTCTCAGTGTCTGCCTGAGCACCAGCCCACTCTGTTCTGCCTCTTGGCTTCTCAGCTTTGCGTACGCCTGCCCTCTGTTCCAGCACTTGCACATGCTTTGTGAAGTACTCTCTTACTCATGAAATCTCAAGGGTACATCTGGCCTTCCCAGTTGGATGGCAAGTTCAAGGGTGGACCATGCCCTTGGTCTTTGCACAGAAGCTTCCACCAGGTTGGTAATGTTGGAAGGGCCCTAGAAGGAACAGGATGAAGCAGCACTCTCAGTGCTGGGGTCTGGCTTCGCTACCCCCACCCCATACCACCACCAAGCTGCTATCATACTTTCTGGGTCAGCTTCTGTAGGGTGAGTGTTCACAGCTGGTGCAGCTCTTTGGGAAGGCTAACCTCTCAGCTGAACTCCTAGAATGGCTGCCATGGTGACTTCTGCCCTGGAAGAGCAGGGAGCACAGGACTCCTGCATGGAACTGGGAGGCTGTCTCTTGAGATCTGACAAGCCTTCCCATCCCCTTTATCAGCTGTCTGTCCTCAGAGTATGGTTAATCCTATCCCTGAACTTCAAGGGTGCCTTCAGGATGGGCTCTGCTACCTGTGCCCATATGGAACTTTATAGAAAGGCTAGACAAAAAAATGAGGCCTGGAGATATGGAAGAAACTGGCCAGAGGGAAAGAGGCCTTTGTTTTTTTTTTTGTTTGGTTTTTTTGCGTTGCAGTCTCACTCTGTTGCCCAGACTTAAGTTCAGTGGCATGATCACAGCTCACCACAGACTTGAACTCCTAGGGTGAAGGAATCCACCCTCCTCAGCCTCCTAAGTAGCTGGGGCTACAGGTATGCACTGCCATGCCCAGCTAGTTTAATTTTTGGAGGGATGAGGTCTTGCTATGTTGCCCATGCTGATCTCGAAATCCTAGGCTTATACGATCCTCCTGCTTCAACTTCCCAAAGTGCTGGGATTACAGGCATGAGCCCCATGCCCGGCCCTTTAAAAAAACTACTACTGTGTTGTTTTTCTCTTTTTCATTTATTGACTGCATAGCCAGTCACTGCTAGATGCTTTAGTCACATACAGGTCTCAAACTAAGAGAAGCTCAGGAAAGAGCACTTTACAAAGTTAACAGTTTCCTTTTGTATTTGGGGAGTTAACCTCATAAAGTAGCGTTTTGAGCAGCACAGGTTGCATTATCCCCATTTTTCAGATGAGGTACTCAGCTCTCCCTAAATCTCACATCGCATAAATGCAGACCTAAGCCTGCTCCGTGAGCTCTGGGGTTTCAGCACTCGGGTCACTTTTGAGCTGCAAAATCCTCTCTGTTGGGAAGAGGTTCACCTGTGCATTATAGGCCGTTTAGCAACATCCCTGGCCTCTACTTGCTAAATGCCAGTAGCACCCCTCCAGATGAGACAACCCAAAATGTCTCCAGATGTTACCAAATGACCCTTGGGGGTAGGGGAGTAACCGTGTCCCCAGTTGAGAATGCTGGTTCTACTTTAGTCCCAACCTGACGGCTTGAACAAGTTGCTTCTCTGAAATGCATCGTGTGCACTCCACCCTGGGTATCTTTGACACAACGCTTTGGCCCAGAGAGGTTGGCTGAGATGTGGCTTTCTGGGACAGATGTAATGGCGTCCTCCATCTCTGTTCTAGTTACCCTGCTTAGCTCTTCATTACCTTGTACCCCCAGAACAGGTGTGTTTGTGTGTACACATCTGCCTTCCTCTACTCAGCTCCCTTTCAGATTTCCTCCCAATCTGTTCCCCTTCTTTCAGTTCCAGCTATGTCCTGCACAGAGAGCACCATTGGATATACCTGTGTGTGCCTAGCGGTGGACCCACCTCCAAAAGCAGCCTGAGCTGACAGCAACGAGCCTCCCATACTCAAGTCCGGCCAAGCAGGAATTGCTTCCTGGCTATCATGACCACATTCTGGGTGAACATCAATAAAGTCCCCTTAGTAGCTAATTAGCTCTGCCATGAGCTGTGGAGATAGTCTATTATCTGGCGGTGTCCCACACGCGTGCCTCCCTGCCCCAAGGACCCAGCGGCTGTCAGTGATCATCTGCACTGCTGTTCCAGTGGCAGGAGGCTTGCTGCAGAGCAGGCACTCCAGGCTCAGTGAGCGTAGCCAGACCAAAGTTGGGCGAAAGGAAGGGCAGGAAAGGCAGGCACAGACATGACATGTTCCTGGGCTAAGTAACTGCGAGATCAGCCCAGCGGCCTCGCAAAGTTAGGTGGGCCTGAACTTCTCACCCCTCCCCTTGAAGCTTCTGCTCTCCCAGCCACAGACTGAGAAGGCCCTGTTTCCAGACACCATGTGCTGCCTGGCACGCTAGGCACCTGTCTGTCCTGGGGGTTCCTGAGCCTGGAGACCAGGCTCTGTGAATGCAGGGGCCTAGCCTGTCTGGCTCACTGTTGTGACCACAGTATCTGCTTAATTACCTGTCTGTGAAATGATTGAAAATCACAGCCACTCAACAGAAGAAATAAGTCAGGCTAGTAAGCGAGAGGTGCCAGAGGTTCCAGAACTGATCACGACCCTTTCCGTCTTGTTCCTGACTTCTAACAGTGGGATCCTGCTATCTGCTATTTAATTTCGTTAGGACCAGGTTTATCAAAAGTCCCTCCTTATCTAATCCATTCTTCTAGGAAGGCTTCTCCTTTCATTGTGTGTCCTGATTGGATGCTCTTCAACTCCCAGGCCTTCCAGATTGGGTGGAACCTGGTCTCAAACCCTGTGGCTGCTCTGGGATGATCTCTCTGAGTGCTTCCTTTCAAAAGGCTAACACAGAAGAGATAAGGGCAAAGGGACCTTGAGGTGAGGAAATTTGTCCAAAGCCACTCAACAAATTGTGGTAAGCATTAGATTCTGGTTGTCTGAACCCTCCCAGGGCACTTTCACTGAGGCTTGTGGCCCCTCTAAGTGTCAGCCAGCTAGCCGGGCTCGGTGGCTCAGCCTGTAATCCCGCGCTTTGGGAGGCTAAGGTGAGTGGATTGTCTGAGCCCACGGGTTCAAGACTTACCCGGGTAACTTGACAAGACCTCATCTCTACAATAAAAAAAATCAAAAAATCAGCCGGGCATTGTAGCGTGAGTCTGTAATTCTGACTACTCAGAAGGCTGAGGTGGAATAGCCAC